CTGTCATCATGTGTCTGCAGGTGCAGACTGCTCCTCTTGTGCAGTGAGCCCCATCTCAGACAGAGGTGCTGCCAGCTGCCTCCTTCTTCATTGGAGTTTCTCTCTTTAGTTCCTTGGTGGGCTTCAATTCACACTTCAGATTCTTCTGGGTCCAGCGGATCCACTTCCCTCTTTCTTGTCTTCCTCATGATACTATATTTCAGTGTCTGGATGGCAACTCTCAGAGAGACTGTTTTCTCTGCTGCCATCTTGGTCTCCTCCATCATATTTATTGATTTTTTTATGTTGAACCATATTTGTATTTAGGATGAAACCTACTTGTCATGGTGTATGATCTCTTTTTGGTGATTTATTGCATTCTCTTTGCCAGTATTTTTCTTTTTTGAGGATTTTTGTATCTATTCTCATTAGAGAAATCAGCCTGTAATTGTCTTTTTCATTTGAATTCTTATCTATTTTGGGACTAAGGATGACACTAACTTGCAGGAATAATTCTAGTAGTACTGTACTCCATCCCTTTCAAATTCATTAAAGAGCTTGAGAATTCATTAAAGAGCCATGAAATTCTTATAGAATTAGGCAGTGAATTCATCAGATCCTGTGGTTTTCTTTCTTTATTCTTGTTTTGTTTTGTTTTTGGTTCTGAGGATCAAGCTCAACCTCACCTGGGCTTTTTTAATGGGTAGCTTTTGTTGTTGTTGTTTGTTTATTTATTTGTTTTGATGTTTTAATCTCATTGCCTGTTGTTTAGTTATTTAGGATTTTTAAGTCTTATTGGTTCCATTCTATAATTCAAGTGAGTCTAAGAATCTCTCCATGTCTTCTGAAATCTCCAATAGTTTGATGTACATATCTATGATAATCTAAATTTGGGCAGTATCTGTTGTTTTTTCACCTTTTTCATTTCTAATTGGATTGATTTTTGTCTTTTTCTCCTTTTTTGCTAAGATTGGCTTATTCACTGATTCTTTAAATTATTTCTTTAGTCTCCATTTCATTGGTTTCTGCTCTGATTTTTGCAATTTCTTTGCTTATACTATCTCTAGATTTGGATTGTTCTTGTTTTTCTAGGATCTTGAGATATATCATTAGATTATTTATTTGGACTTGCTCTATTTTTCTAATGTGGGGATTTACAGCTATAAATTTCCCTCTTAGGACTGCTTTCATTGTGTCCAATAGTTTTGATATGTTAGCATTATCCTTTAATTTTAGGAACTGTTTTATTATTACTAAATTTCTTCTGTGACTCATTGTTTTTGAAGAATATACTGTTTACTTTCCCTGTATTTGCATAATTTCTGTAGTTTATTTTGCCATTAATTTCTACTTTCATAGTAGTGTGATCTCATAGTATGCATGGTGAAAATTGCAGTTGTTTTTTATTTACTTAACTATGCTATATTTGCTAATTGTGGTTTGTTTTAGAGAAATTCCATGTGCTGCTGAGAGTAATGTATGTTTTATTGTTGTCAGATGGAGCATGCAATATACCATGTATCTATTACATCCATTTGTTCAAAGGCTTGTTCTACTATTTTTAAAATTTTTATTCAGTTGATCTATTTGTGATAAAGGAATATAATCCTACTGATATTTATCAGATCTTTTATTTCTAATTGGGTTTGTTTTATGAAAATGTGTGCACTATATGAAATTGGTGCATATATGTTTATGATTGCTATCTCTTCGTCTTGGATAGTCCTATTAACTGATAGGTAGTTACTTTCTTTCACTCTTCTGATCACTTTTAAAGTCTAAATTATCTGAAAATAGGGTAGCTACTCCTGCTTGATTTGGGATTCTTGTTGCAAATAACATTATTTTCCCTCCTTTGACTTTCAGTCTATGAATTTCTTTTTGGGTTAAATATGCTTCTCATATACTGCATGTTGTTGGATTTTGTTTCTTGATCCATCCTATGAATCCATGACTTTTACTGGGAAAATGAGACTATACACACTGATGATTATACTGGTAGATATTGACTTATTCCTGTCAGTGTATTATTTTACTGCTACTGATACCTTTTCTTTCCCTCCTACTTCGTTGCTCACCCTGCCTGTGCATTCATTATATTTTGGCCTTTTGCTGTTGTTAGCCTTGTTGACTCTTTCTACAATATACTTGAGAACTTTTTGGAGTGCTGGTTTGGTGTCTTGAATATTTTTGATGTTCTTTTATCATGGAAGTATCTTAAGTCCTCATCAATTTTGAAAGATAATTTTGCAGAATAAATCATTTGGGTTGGAAGTTGTTTCTTTTCTCTTTCAGGACTTGAAACTCCTCACTCTAGGTTCTTCTTCACTTTAAGGTTTGTATTGATAAATCCACTGTAATTCTGAAGATTTTCTTTTACAAGTGATTCGTTGCTTTTCTGTAACCGCTTTTAGAATTTGTTTTTGTGTTGGATTTCTGGTATTTTGGCTATGATGTGTATGGAAGTGGTTCTTTTCTGCTCATGGCTATTTACTTATCTATATGTTAAATTCTTTTTCCATGTTTGGAAATTTTTGCTATTATTTCTTTAAATAGTGTTTTTAATAACCTTTGTGTTATCTTCTAACTTTTCATTAATTTCAGCTTTTCTTGCATCATCTATCAATTGTTGATTTTCTTTGTACTTTTATTGTTTTTATGGTGTCTTGCATTAATTGATCACCAATCACAATCCTGCCTTCTAAATCTGACACTCTGTCTTCACATTGGTCACTTCTGCTACTTATATTTTCAGTAGAATTGCTGATCTCCTGGATTTTTTAAAGAACAATTTTATGGATGCCAGTTGTTTTCTCTCAGGATATTCATGATTTTCATCTTTTCCTGTAGCTGCTCCAGTTTTTTTTATTAAAGCTTTCTCTAGATTCGCCAATCATTTCTTCCATTAGGATCATTATCTGTTGAATTATATATTTTTGAGTTCACCAAATACCTTATAGATCTGTTTTATCTCTAACAACCCTTTCAGATATTTTATGTACAGGGCCTCTGATTTCCTCCTCCTTTATTCCCTCTAGTTAGTTTCGGAAGAGGGTTGGGGGTTTTTGCAGGCATTTTGCTGCCTTTTTCTCTCATGCTTCTATTTTTTCTTTGTTTTTTGAGCTGAGGCTTGCAGAATGATTATGGTGGGTAGCTTTGTTGCTAATATGGAAACCTCTTTAATGTCCACTGTTTGGAGATATGCCTCTAGGTGTAGCTGATCATTGCCATTTGCCTCTGTCCCAGGATCCAACTGCCTTTGTCTTTTTGCCCTGATACTCAGTTCTTTGTGAATGGGCATTGTTTATGATCCACAGGCAACCCAGACATTGTCATATGGAGAAAACCAATCAATAACAATAACTTTGGTTAAAGTAGGAAAGTAAACAACGATAGTGTCAAATACAAACTGGATAATAACAACCCTAACAATCAATAATATATTGCCCTTAACTGTAGAAAAGAGATCTATAGTTACAATATAAATACTAAATCAAACCAAATATTGATCTACAATAAATATCTACTCAGTAGAACATTATCTCCATTAACATTATAACAATGTTGAACTATAGTAAGATAGGTTTAACTATCTATAGATTCACAAAGCTTAATTATTATACTTGAAGAATAGAGGCAGTGTGCAGTGGAAACCTGAATAAAGGAGTAAAAAGGGAGTAAATAAAAGAAATAAAAGTATCAGAAAAAAATAAATAATAGAAATAAAGAATAAACTGAAGGACAAAAAAGATAATTATACAAGTTAAAAGAGAGCAAGGAAAGAAAAGAGTGTGAGAAAAAGAGGAATAAATCAAAATCAAACAAATAACAAAGATAATATTAGTTTTTAAAAGGGACAAGAAAATGGGAGCTAAAACTCCACACATCATCAAAACATAATAAGAAAGAAAACAACAACAAAAGCTCAATAGAGGTGAAAACAAAAAGAACTGGATCAAAATAAAAAAGATTCCAGTGTATTTAGAGATGAGTGGCTACATCCAGGACCTATAGTCTTTTAGAAACTAGCAAATCATGGGTCTCTCTGAAGTACTTAACAGTCTGTGGGCTTGTGAGGCAACCTTTCTGCTCAAGAAGTCTCCCTATCTCTAAACCCTTGACCGTAGCCCCTACCCAAGTTGAGACTCACACTGGTACATAGAGGAGCAATCAGACCCTGGTCTCCTCTGGATGGAGGCAGCAGGGAAGATGCTCAAGCAGACCACAGGACTCAATGCCATTGCCATCAGAACCAGCCACCTCTAAAAACCAGACCCATCAACCCTGTCCTCCATCACAGAGTGCAGACCCCGTGTCTTTACTAGTCTGAGCTTGAACTTCTCAGGGGGGTCTAGGGGAATATGTCTATCCCATATCCTCTCCCAATCTGTCTCCTCTGGCTCTCATCCAGTCCCTGGGGGAGGGTAACATTTCAGTCCTGGGGTTAAGCTGTGATGTAGGTGTTTTGTAACTTAGTCCCACATGGTCAGCCCCTTTGCAAAATGGCACCTGATTAAACTCTTGCAGGATGATTGGTGCTGCATTAGATTTCTTTTCTAGTCCTACCCAGCTGTGAAGAAGTCATTCTCAGTGTAAATTCTCACATTGCTTTTTGTTTTGTTTCTGTTTTTTAGTTTCTATCAGTTGTGGGCTTTTCTTAGAGCTAGTGTTGTTGGCCCATCAATTATGTCTCCCGCAAGCAGCCAGTTTCTCTGGGCAGGCTCACTTCTTCTCCAGGGTGTTGGCTTCGTCCTCAGTCAGGTCAGTTTGAGAGTCACCTGTGTGGGCCTGTGCTGCAGGCAACCAAGGTGTAGAGCCTGCTAGAAGTTGGAAGTTTGGAGTTTGAAACCCATGGTACAGACAGGATTCTTGAGGTGAAATTTTAAAATAATAATTTGCAAATAATTAGTGTATTATGTATGTTATTATGGTTTCAGCACTAACTAAAATTTCCTCTACACTTAGATTTCATAAGATTTTATGATATGCAGAGTAATCTTAATTTTCACATTTCCATCCAGAAAAACATGCAGTTCCTCGGAACATGGACTTAGAGCTCAAGACACAGCCAGACAGCCAAGCTGGGTAAGAACTTGAAGCCGGTGTTAGTTTGCAAAGATGAACCCAGAGCTCTGGCATTGGGGAAAAGGGTGTAGGCTTCCTTTAATTAAGCATAAATGTACTCTTGTACCAGTAGCCGTGTAGCAAGCATTGTTTTCTTACTGGTCTCTGCTCTGCACATGAATATCAGTTCTTGCAGGGAACTAATATTCCATGAAACTTGATTAAATATTTTGAAATAAAAGTGAAAGAGTTAGGTGCACGACATTGCACGCAGAGCACTCCAAGGACAGAAACTGCCCACTCTGATCCCTCCCCTGTGAGACCCAGGAAGACAAGAATGTGTTAGCTGATATGCAACTAAGTTCTTTAGCTTAAGATAATTAGTACATTTAATGTTGATAGTCCAGTAATCAGCAGAGGTACCATCACCAGCAGCCACAGTGTGGAAAGCAACAAGGGATTGCTAATATGGTGAGTTAGTGAACTGCAGGTGCACTATTTTGCAGAGCCAGATTGAGGTCACATCCTAAACAGGGAGGTGTGGCTGCCTGACACACGGAGTTTTTCAGCAAAGTGTCAAATTCAGGATATTTGGTTTAATTAAGAAACATATGAAGCAAAGCTTGTAGTATCTCTGAACCACACTGTAATACAGTGTTAGGTCTGATACACAGGGCCATAGTTGATGTTTGCAATGACACTGTTACTTGTGCTTTTATTGTGTCCTTATGCACCTGCAGGCAACGCAAGATCAGAGTGGTGTGAACTATAACACTGCACCGTTAGGGCTCCTCGCAGGACTCACATTTTTGCCTTCATACCCGTTCTCTATGAGCTGATTTACATTGACTCATGAACTGATAATTGAGTCCAGATTTGTGAACCTAAAGGATTTTGGTGATTGTATACTTGATTTTTAACCCTTTTCATTGAGGAAGTATGTGCTGTGTGTGGGAGGGGAGGCTTTAAAATTTTTATTTAATTTATTTTTTTGGAGGAGATTTATTAAAAACTATGCACATACCTACATGGACAGTCATATACAGTCAGCACTCAATCCCATGGATTCCACATTTGTGACTCAGCCTACCATAGTTCAGATTCTCTGTATTCAGGCCCGTGATGGCTGTGCCTGTACGAACATGCCCTGAATTTCTTTCCCTTGTCACCATTCCCTAAGTAATACAGAATAACAACTGTTTACATGGCCTGATCATTTCTTGGAGTATTATAGTTATCCAGAAATGGTGGATACAGGAAGATGTGTGGGGGTTATAGCAAAACTGTGCCATTTTATGTGAGGAATTGGAGTGTCTTCATATTTTGGTATCCTCTTCTGTGGACAGTGAGGCACAACTAGATGTCAGTGAGGAGACTTGATGCCAACAGGCAGAGGACAGAAACAGCAGACAGATGCAGACAGATGGGGCTTCATGGGGTCCAGCTGCTACATCAGAGCTCCAGCGCGAGCTCCCATGTTCCTCTGAGTGGGTCACCTTTACTCTTGGGATCCCTCACTGAAAATGAGAAGGAGCCTCTGATCCTCTCCCAGGTTCCTTGCAGCAATGGTCTCATTCTCTGGGCCAGGACACATCAGCGTCACCAGCAGCCTCTGTCCCAGAAGGAAATAAATGTACCAGTAGCTCTGGGGAAGGTGGCTCTTCTCTCTGACACTGCTTTGGACAGTTTGGGACTCAGCTGAGCTGACCAAGACCCCTTAATACTCAGACCTAAGAAATGTTAGGGTAAGCGGGGCTGGACCCTGTGTCCCAAACTTTTTTCACAAAGCACCAGTCGCACTTGCCTTGGGGCCACAGAAAGTTGGACAAGTACCTAAGACCATGCCCACCACATCAGTCAGAGTTCCTCTTGATCTCTCAGTGTGTCACAGTAGCCAGAACCAAGGATGTCAACGTGGAGGATGTCTTATACCATCCAACCCTGTCCTCCCTGGCTCACCTCGCCCAGTAGAATTCCTACCCTCTGCCCAACACTTGGCCTCTGCTTTCTCTTGTGTTTCCTTCCATTGGTCCCAAGTTTTTTCTCAGTATTCCCTACTACTGTCCACAGCAGGGCTGTCTTTCTGGGGTACAATCCCAGAAGTGGCCCTCGGGATGAGTCTACTTACCTCATGTCTGTGCCCAGGGTTGAGGCTGCTCCTATGGTTCTTTCTTTACCCACATGCCCTGTTCACACCAGTAGCTGCCTCCAAAGATTGAACTTCTCAGTGACCCTATGGGACTCTTCCAGGGCCATTTTGAGGAGCTGCTGAAGGGTTTAATGTTGGGACTGACAGAACATCAGGAGCCACACAGGCTGGCTGAAGAGTTGGCCTTTTCCCCCAGGAGGCTGAAGCCGAGCCTTTGCTTCACTCATTCCCACAGGGAGAAGGATGACATAATTCCTGAGGACGACGTGGGCTTATATGACGGAAATCTGACAGCCGAAGAAATAAAATTTTTGGAAGAGTTTCCCGAGTGGAAAAAGGAGCAGGAAAAGTATATCACCACACTTCGTGCCTTTGCAGAGGATGCTGACAAAATGCACAAAAAATTCACCAAGTCCAAAATGGTGTCCAATTCTGTCACCGTTGCTTCCGAAGTGGCGAGCATGGTGGGTTTAGCCCTTGTGCCCGTCACCGCAGGTGCGAGCTTGCTACTCTCAACTGCAAGCAAAGGTGTGTCAGCAGCAGCTGTCGTTACCACGATGGTGACAGAGTTGAGAGAAAAATCTCACAGTAAAAAACTCCGTGCTCAGGCCAGTAGCCAAGTGCCCATGAGTGTCCAAGAGCCCAAAGATGCAGAAGAAAAGCAGTCATCTAATCTCACGGCTTCTGGTCAGGCTCTGCACAGGTGTGGGAGAGCCCTGCAGGTTATCAAGAAGGGCATCCGGGCCCTTTGGCCTATCAAATCCCCACCACGCTCAGGTACTTCTGCCAAGCATCTTCGGACTGCTGGGAAAGTCTCAGCACCAGCCAGAACACAGGTGCAGAAGGCCAGTTCAGGTAAAGTGCTGACTGTGGCAAAAATAGCCCGCATGAGTGTTAGGGCCTTCGCTTCCATGTCTCTTAACGAGGGTATGGCTGCTCTCTGGAAGAACTGGAAGCAACTGAGGGATGAGTCAAAGCCAGAGCTCGCAGAAGAACTCAGGGCCCAAGCTCGGGAGCTGGAAGAGGTGCTGGAGCAGTACAGCAAATGCTATGATGAGCTGCTAAAAAAGGTGAGGACAGGATTTTGAAAGTGGGGTGTGAGGGGGGCACTTTAACTGGGACCCACGGTAGGCAATATTGTCCAGCAGGGCTGGGGAGAGCTCCTGTGCACTTGGTGTAAAGTTTGCATGGATACACTTCAGGATGTGACTTTGGGTGTCCCTTGAGGTCCACAGAGTATGATGGACACCTTGGAATGTGGGTACCTGTCCTGGTCAAGCCTGATCACACCTTTTGTTTCTCCCTTGAGTCCCTTTGGACCCTCTGCTAGGAAAAAGCTGTTGCTTACTTTAGAGAAGATGTCACCAAACCCCTTTGCCGGTATTCTAACCTGAAATGTGTTCCCCTGCAATTCCTGGGTCAAAGTCCCAAACCCCAGTGCGACTGTTTGAAGGTGAGGCCTTTGGGAGATGATTAGGGTGCAGAGATCCTAAGAGTCCTCATCAGACAGGATTAAGGTCCGTAACAAAGACATGTGAGGGGCCTCCCCACATCCCAGAGACCAGCGGAGGAGAAGCCGTAAGAGGACACACAATGAGAAGCAGTGCGAAGAAAGCCCCTGGCTGGAAATAAACATGCCTGCACATTGTCCTGGTTTATAGCTTCTAGAAGTGCGAGATAATGAATTTCTTTTGCATCAGCTGCTCTATCTGAGGCATTTTGTTAAGGCAGCCCAAGATGACCAGGGTAGGGAGGTTATGTGGCTGGGTTAGTGTCAAGGTGTTCAGGCTTCTATCAGTTGTTTAGATTGGATCATTCAGGGCCAACAAAGAATGTAGGAGGCTGATGCATCCATGGTCTGATCTCCAGCCCCAGTGGGTTCAGTGCATGGGGAGGGCTCCCTCTGTTCTTCACAGGAGCCTTTACAGGGTAGCCTCACCTGGAGGTAGGGAAGTCAGGGTCCCTGGTGCCTCTTTCATAAGGGCACTAATCCCAGTCATGAGGGACCCAGCCTTATGCCTTGTGTTGGTTAATTTTCTCTCATTACCGAGACGAAATACCCAATGCTCTGGATCCAAGGCAGAGTAGTATGATGAGGGGCAACAGTTCAAGGGGGCAGAAGGCAGCAAAAACAGCAAGAGAAGAGTAGGGCATCAGGCCTCTTTTTCTTCCTTATCTTGCATGCAAGCAGCCCACCCCAGGGCAGATGTAGTGCTCACACTCCCAGTCTCAGCACCAGAAAATGAACCAATCACAAACTCTAGATTCAGTCACCTTCAAAGTGCCTGCTCCCCCATGACCACATGAGGCTTTCAAGACACAAACCATAACACACCTTAATTACCTCCCAAATTCCTTACCACCTAAGCACATCGCATGGGGGTTTAGGTTTAAATCTGAGTTTAGGAACAAATAGTCACACAATAGTCACCGAGTTCTTGGTGCTAAATAATGGGAGACTCGGGACAGCGGGCCTCTTAATTCTATGCTGGGGTTCCCAGGGGTCCCTTGTTGTTCTGTTCAAAGAACTAGACAACACAAGATGGGCACAGGGTACACACATGTACTCCCAGTACTTGGGACACAGGAGGATTGCTTGGAAGTTTGAGGCCAGCCTGGGTTACACAGTGAGTGCAAGACCAGCCTCAACTGCAAAACAAGACGCTGTCTCAAAAAAAAAAAAAAAAAAAAAAAAAAAAAGAAAAGAAAAAAAAAGGATGAGAGAAATAAAGATGCACAAGTTTTATATTTACTCACGATACTGAAGGCAGTATTAAAAGTTAAGTGGGGGAGTGTGCTTTGTAGAGCAAATGTGAGCCAGTTAAGAAGGAGCTGCTTAGGAAGAAGTATGTCCTAAAAATTGCAGGACAGGTCAGTGAAAAGGATCACAGCGGCCATGAGCTTAATGGTGGCTTTTTGGTCTTGTCTTGTTTTGTTTCTTCTTTTTTTAGGCAGAGTCTCACAGTCTTACTCAGACCTGCCTTGAACTTCCACGATCCTCCTGCCTCAGGCTCCTGAGTGCTGAGACTAGAGGCAGCGCCACCGTACTGGGCAGGCTGGAGTCTTTTATAAACCCATTCTTACATCAGATCAGGGCCATTCCAGGCAGGCTTTGGAAGCTGTTCCGCCCATGTGGGCTGGCCATGATTGACAGGTCTCAGGGACTGACAGGTCGGGCCCAATTGTCCAACTGATTTGCTGTGCCCTGGTCTCCTGCTTCATACCCTGAAAGACATAAATCCATAGTTCTGTGGGGGCTGCAGAGAATGTCTGTCTTCATACGGCTACCTCATCTGAAAAGGGTTGTAGGTCTTACCTACAAGTGCTAGGATTATGGACATGCACCACCATACCTCGCTCCCATGTAGGGTTTTTATGACCCTTGACCCTTGAAGAAGGAACAGTTGCTTTAAATGGTTCTTGGGCTCTGCGAATAAGGCTGGGTTCCTGAGGGGCTAGAAGGCCCTCTTGCTTCGCTGGCAGTCTTTTTATTTCCCAAAGCAGGTTTAGACATGTCCCTTTGGTGTCCCTTACAGTGAATGCCAGAGACTTGCTTTGGAAGCTAGACTCTCTCTAGGAGTTGTGTTGTTTATTAATTAGCAACTCCTTCCTTTGCAGATTGTGGCATGGTCATGTAGTGTCAGATCTTTGAGCTGACATGTCACAGGGCAAGTAAAGAAGCTCTGACTTGAGTCCCCTCTTTTCCCCAATTACAGTGGGAGATTTAGAGGAGGGCTTTCTGGAAGTTGAGGTAAAAGGAGTCACTCAATTTTCTTGCTCTTGACAGTAGGGTCACCTGTGGATTTGCCATGAGAGATGCATATGTCCATGGACAGGGACATTATAGGTCCCCAGGGCACTTCAGTCCTCTTCATCAGAGTAGGAAGTGAGGGTCTTGGCTGCCCGGCTCTGGGGGTGGGGGCAGTCAATTCTCCAGTGCCATGAGTCAGGGGCATCAGTTGCCAGATGCACACAGCAGGGTGCAGGCAGTGGCTTGGCACAGCGGCACGCCCAGTGTCCAGGTTTTTTGAACTTAAAGCAGGCTTTATTGGCTGTGGGTTTTTGCTTTGGATGACTTAGGTGTGCTGAAGCCACTGCCACCTGGAGCAGCTATCATTTTGATCTGTCTTTTCTCCCCTCATCCCTTCTCTTTTCATCTTCCTCTAGATTCCTTCAGCTGCTCCCTACAGAAAAGGGTGCCTCCAGCAATTGGGTCATAGTGTCCAGAGGCCCATCTGCAAACCTGCCAGGGTCTTTTGAAAATCCTGGTCTCTCCGGGACATAGGCTGACCATATCCAACTGAGAATGGGCATCTGAGGAAAGGCCCATCAAAAACACCAGTATCCATTTCCTAAGAGGCCTCTTTAGGTATTATAGTTTCTGGGCTTTTCCAGAAATAGTCATAGGCGCCTGAACATAAGGGGTTTCACACCACCATCCATGCATTTTGCAAATATGATCTAACTGAAAAAATACTACTACAACTTAAACTGCCATTCATATCCATCTCTCATCACTTCCTAGTTCATATTGGGCCCAAATGATATAGCAATAAAGATAAACTGTTACAGACAAGGGTGGATCCCTAGGACTCCTGCTAGTGTGGGGCCTATGAGGACTGTGATAACTAAGTCTGAGGTTTTTCAGCTGGCATCCTCTACAAGAGGAGGAGACCTGCTGAGTTTCCTTGTGAGACTCAGTCACTACTGGCCAGGCATCTCCAGCTAAAGCAACAGGGCTGCTTTGCCTTAGTCCTCTCCATAGCCTGCAAACTACTGTGACTCCTTCAGGTAAAATCGTTCCCAGGTTTTTTTTTTTTTTTTTTTCTTGATACCAGGAATCAAACTCAGGACCTTGCACTTGCCAGGCAGGCACTGTGCCACTGAGTTATTCCCCCAAACCTATTGTTCCCAGTTTTTGAGGATAGAGTTTAATGCTGAGGTGGCTGGGATGTGTGGGATGTTTCCCACACTGCATTGCGGGGCCTTTGGAGAAAGAAGCTTAGATCCCTGGAATTCTTAAGACAGTGTTCCATGCAGAAGGAGGAGCCCTAAGAGTTTCTAAGACTTTCTTTGTGAAACACGCGCTAGACAGACATCTCTGTCTGAAGTGGCACCTGTGCCTCTTTCATTTTTCTTTCTTTAATTTATTTTACTTAGAATTCTCTATAGTGAAGAATGGAACCCCTAGTACCTCACTTAGAGACTCCTAAGGGATCTGGGTGGATGCCCCCAGGGTCTCCCTTAGCCACCTGTCTTGGTTATTTTTCTCATTGTTGAGACAAAATATCTGATGCCCAACATGAAGGAAGAAAAGGTTTATTTATCTTACAGTTTTTGGAGGTTTCAGTTTATACTCAGCTGGCTCCAAGGCAGTGTGGTACGGCTGAGAGGCAACTGTTCAGACTGGCATCAAAAAGCAAGAGTGAGAGGGCAAAAAAGGGAAAAGCAGGCCTCCTTCCCTCCCTTATATTGCATGTCGGCTCCCCTCTCCTGGGCGGGTGCAGCACTCACACCACCAATCCCAGTGCTAGACTCAGCTGCCTCCAGGACTGCATGAAGCTTGGGGGGGCCACCCAGACACAAACCATAACACCACCTGAGAAACAACATCCTGATAGTTATCTTTATAATACTTTGATATTTGGTTTAAGGTAGTAGAGATAGAAATTAGAATCATCTATGCTTATAAAATAATAACCTGTAAAAAATTGTGACATGTACTCATTAACCTCAGTGATGGTCGGCACTTCAAAGGCTTAGAAAGATGTTTAGGGTTTAAATGGATTTTTAAAAACAAAAACTGGTTCTTTAAACCCCACTTCATACCTTCAAATTGCAAGAAATTAACAAAAAAAAAATAGGACCAAAGGACTCTGCAGCAACTTTTCAAAATACTGTTAACATCTTTGGGTTTCCTGAGGCTTGTCAGTGACTTCCATCAAATACTCCCAAAAGATCTGATTCAATAGATAGGACTAAATATTTTTGCATTAATAATCCAATTCTACACACAGATTTGCTGTTGTTCTGAAGCTACAGGTGATGAAAGATAAAGCAAATGTAAAATGGATAATATGATATTTAAAAACTTACACAAAGTGCAGGCCAAAATTTACATATTTGAAAATCATTTATACTCTAAATTACCACTATTTGAATCATTCAAAGACAAATTGTACTATGATAGCTACAAAAGTTATGGGTTTGGCATGGTTCTCAAGGGGACAAGAAGGGAGGGCAGAGCAGAGGGGACAACAGATAAATTAGCAAAGTAAGACCAGCTTGGTAGGGTCCATGCTGGTGTCCAGAGACACGCTGACACAAATGACCTGGGTTTCATCTTTGGACAACTGGACAAAAATAATTATTTTGTATTTGTGTAGAAAACTAAACTTTTCCATGAATATCAAAGGTTTTGTTGCATAATCTTTTGCCACTGTTATTCACAGAAAGCTGCAGATGTTGCGGGCTCTCAAGAAGCCTCCAACCTGCAGGACAGTGGAGGACACCACCACAAGTGCCACTCCCCCCAGGCCAAGGACACCAACGTCACACCAATCACCAAGGCCAGATGGGTGCCCATGGCTGTGCCATCTGAGCTGCCACCTCCTCCCAGGCTACCGGTATAAACAGCGGGTCAAGAGTTGGCGGGAACTGGTGGTGGGCGGAATGTCCCCTGGAGCACAGAGGTGCAGCAGCTGTGGTTCTAGGACTGGCAGTGGGGGAGGAGTGCCTCCCCCAATTCAGTTACCACTGGGGTCCCAGAATCAGGGTGCCGTGTCTGCGTACTCTTGCCTCATGGGTAATGGCAGCTGCTTGGGCTGCTGCCCTGGCATGCACTGCAGATCACATTCATCAGGTGCCCTGACCCCGGGCCCATTCCAGCTCTGGTCCACTGGGTTGCAGACTGCAGTCACCTGCGAGTAGAAAATGAGAAGCTGGCAGGGGAGAGATCCGACCCTCCTCCTGATCGATGTGCCTCTTCCGCTGTTGGCAAGCCTGCTCAGGTGGTGGCGAAGGGGAATCGAGAGGCCTGCCTGGGAGAGATATCCACCCCCAAGGGAAGCAGGGCAGCTGCTGGGTGGGAAGTGATTGTGGCTCCCACCTGCCTGACCTGCACCAATGGCCCTGCCCAGTCCTTAAGGGAAGCAGCAGTGCCGATGGGCAGAAAGCCACTGTGGCTCCCATCCAGGCAGCCGGCACCAAAGGCCTAGAGGTCACTGGTAGGAAACCTGGGCTGCCCACACTGGTGGCCCCACCTGCTTGCCATTGCTTTGGACTCCACCAGAAGCACCCAGCCAGCCTTGCTGCACAGGCTTCAGTGTAGGACAAGCCTTAAAGTGATCACCTTCTGCCTTCTTTGGGGCACTCTGTGGGCATCCTCTAACCCTGGCCAGCACACAGGGCATGTGCACAAGCTTGGCATGGGAATCTGGTGCTGCACCTTGCTTGGTTCCATCACCCTCATCCCAGGAAGTGCTGGGACTGGACTCCTTCATCTGAGCCAGCCAGCCAGCCAGCCAAAACCAGTGCCCAAGTGCAAAGCCTCCTGCCAGACCCCCAGGGGCACTTGGAGCTGCTCCTCCCACCCCAAGGAGGGTTTGTGAGTATTCCCTGGCAGACACACCAAGGGCATGTTCCCCAGCCAGTGTGGGGCATGGGTAGAGGTGCACAGTTGGCTGGGCTCTGCAGTGGGACCTGAGCAGAGCAATTGTAGCTCTAGGCACACTGGGCCCCTGCTCCATGTCCCATTGCCTCTCCATACTGTGATGGTCTGCTCCGACTTATGGTTGGCTTGCCAAAAGTGTGACAGAATGCTGGAGTGCACTGTTCAAAGAATGCAGAAGTTTTATATTGGTTAAAGGTATTGACAGTAGGATCAAAGGTAAAAGTAGCTAAAGAGTAGACTCTGCAGAGTGAGTGTGGGCCAGTTAAAATAGAAGTATGCCCTGCAGAGCGCAGAGTAGGCTGGTGCAGAGGTCACAGAGGACCTGAGCTTGACAGCTGAGGTCTTTTATACCCCCATTCTGAGGTCAGATCTGAGCCATCCTGTGCAGGACTCAGAAGCTGCTCTGCACCTGTGTTCTAGCTGTGATTGACAAGCCTCCACGATTGACAGGTCGTGTCCATTGCCCAGCCATTTTGCCATGCCCTCATCTCCTATCTCAGGCCAAGAAGCCTGACATCATGGCTGAAGTTTATATGCCCCTCAATGGCACACTTTAAGCTTGGGTGTTTCCTGGGATGGGAAATGGAAATATAACATAACAATTGTACTGTGTTCATTTTTTTCCCTCTCTAGGACTCGCTGATAGATGAGCTACTACTTAAGAGGTCATCTTCGAAAGAAGTAAAGAACACTGAAATTCAGCTTAACTTCCCTGTCAAGAGCTTTGTTGTTTAGTCTCTTTTAGGTCTTTGATCCACTATGAGTTCATTTTTTTTCTCTACTCAGGACCAAACCCAGGGACGCTTTGTGATGGACTGGTGCCTTGTATTATCAGCCTTTTCATTTTATTTTGAAAGGCTGGCTTCCACTTTATGTTCCTCCTGCCTCAGCCTACACCTACAAACCTTTTCAAATCCCACCCACACGCCAGTTACAAACGCTTCTGAACCACATGGCTAGGTTCAGTCCCATCGATGGCCCATTGTTAGTACCAATTTTCTGTATTAGTTAACTTTCCCAATGCTGGCATGCAACACCCAATATCCACAAATGAAAGGAACAGTAATTTATTCTGGCTTGGTTTCTGGAAATTCAGTATATAGTCAGTGTATCCAAGGCAGAAATGTCATGATGGAGCAAAGTTCCTTAATCTTTTTGGTGGCCAGGAAACAGAGCAGGGAAAGAGTATCAGAGGGGGAGAGGTGAGGACCTCACAGAGACCCCAAGGCTACCATCTATGACTCACTCAGCTCCATAGAAATGTGCTGCACAATATTTGACTCCATTCCAGAAGACAAAACATTGATAAAAATGGCATGATACTGAAACAAAACACACATATGGATCATTGGAGCAGAATAGAGGTGTGGTGGATTAACAACTGGTGGTCAACTTGACATCCAGATGAACTGAATCAGCGTGGTGCTGAGTATGGATGTTCACCTAAGGATTGTTGCCAACATAAAAGGGAGAACTGGAGAGGAAGAAATAAGTGTTGTTGGTTCTCCTGGTTTTCGTAGGTTCTCCTGTTGCCATTGGTTTTCCTAGAGGAGCTTGTTGAGCTTCTTTCCTGATAGGAACTCAGCTGTTGGAGGAACTCAGGATCTTGTCATTGCTAAGGATGGCTGTGGTACCTTTTGTGGGGAGCTCTGGTGCTTTGAGCATCATTTTCTAGCTTCAGTGCAAAACCCTCAAACTACTGGCACAGATCCTTCATCCCACGCACAGACTTTCTAGTTTCCACCACTGATTTTTGGGCTTTCCCAGCACAGATCCTGGGATCTAGGCACTTAGCTGGATTCTTTGTGTCTTAGTGTGTAGACAGATTTCCCATGCACTCTTTGGGTGACCTTTATAAAATAATACTATAAACCATATCCTGTAATATAGTTGTTTTCATTGTAATCCTGGACTACAACAAAATTGGTACCAGGACAGTGGAGTCATTGCTGTGATATTTCCTGGTCATGTGGCTTAAGAGCCTCGGGAATTAATTTGGAAAATTTTGAGAGACTGGCCAAAAAGACAGTCCTTGTATGCTGTAAACTATACTGGAGACTCTAGTCAGAGCCCAGAAAATCAGAGTACTGATGGAAATGCTGCCAGTTAAGATGAAGCTTGGGAGGCTTCTGTTGAGAAGGACTACATTGGCTGCTGGAGTCCAGGCAGTACATTGTGTTTTGGCTGGAAGTTGGTCTGCATTTTGCTTGTATTTAGAGATATTACCCAGCTGGCAGAAAAATTTTAGTGCAGTCTACAATTGGGATGGTAGCATGGTCACTGCTGAGAGCTTTGGGCCAGATCTATGTTTGAAATTAAGAGCAGAGACAGCAGAGTGATTTGAAACTTTGGCCAGAGAAAAAGCTTTACTGGAACTCTGAGTTGCAAGGATGAAACAGAAGAAGAGCAGGACAATGGAAAAATAAACTGAAGTCTTTCACCTGAAGGGAAGAGTGCATTTGAACTGCAGGAGATTCTGGTTTTCTAGTACTACCATGTCCTGTTATTAAAGTCAATGGAAAACTACAACAACCTAATACAAGCAGGATGAGAAATGGTCCAGAGCCTTCAGGAATGAAGATGTGGGTCACTTCACCAGGGAAAGAACCAAGATCTGCTGAGGTGCTTGCTAAAGGCCAAGGGAATATAGAGTGGTTAGTGGAAGAAGGTAGTTCTAAATACCAGGTACAATCTCATGATAAGCTACAGAAAAGAGGATTGTGATTGTAATCTCCTCTAATATGGTGCTAATGTGATATAATGCTGATAGACTTAACATAGATCCTTAAGAATTGTTAAATCTATGTTATAATGTTGAAGTTATGACATGATAAGAATAAACATCAACAAAAAGACTTACATTCTATTCTGGTGAGGGAATTAGTGCATTTCTGTTTGTATACAGGAGATTTTTTTTTGTCTTTTTCCTGTTTATCGAATTAGTGCATTTCTGTTTATACACAGGAGATTTTTTTTTTTTTGTCTTTTTCCTGTTTATTGGTACCGGGGATTGAACTCATGACGGCCTGCTTGCAAGGCAGGCACTTATGCTGCTGAGCTAAATCCCCAGCCCCAGTACACAGGAGATTTATAAAATGTTAGGCACAATTATATGTATGTCTTTATCTGGAGACTGGTTTAAAGAAATGTTTCTGATTGCCAAGTTGACAAGGGGTTCATTGTAGTGGTTGATTGATTGTGTCAACTTGAGACTTTTAAAAGCTTGACTAAACTGGCTTAGCAATTCTATACCCTAGGGTGAGGGGACATTGTGAGGGGATAAAGGAAATAAGAATAAACATATGTCAGGCACAGGAGTCTAATCACTTCAGTGAATGTAAACATTATATGTCATAAACAAGAGATAAGATTAACATCATTAAGAATGAAAATGGGGGAAAAGGTTTTCAAAGAAGAAAGAAGAAGGTGTAAGAGAAAGAGAAGGGGATTAAAAAAGAACAAAACTGTGTTATGTTCCCACTCCCCAAGATGTTTATCAACTGTATGTACCGCAAACATTCATTAAAATTTATAAAAAGAAATGTGGTCCTTCAGTCCCTGTGCAGCTCTTATGCTAATCAAGTTTATACTAATCAAGTCCACCCTATGTATCACAAGGACTATCATTCTAAGCAATATTAACTGCTTGAAATCCATGAACACAGAATGTCTTTCCATTGGAATATGTCATTTTTTTTCTTTAAGTGACACATAGTTTTCCATATGCAAGTCTTTCACTTCCTTGGTTAAGAGACACCAATGATTAAAGGTGGTCTCTGTTCATGAGATGGGAGATTAGGGCATGGCAAAATGGCTGGGAACATAGGTGTGGTTTGTTAATGACAAGATCCTGGAACACATGCACAAAACTATTCCCAGGCCCTGCTCATGGATTTTTCATGAGAATTCAGACAGATTTCAATAGGATGGCTTAGCCCTGACATCAACCTGAGATTTGGGATCCCAGCATCACATCTCAGGACCTATATGTAGAAGGACTTTGAAATGAGCCAATAGCAAATCCACAATTGCTACTGTAATATATCTTGCTATCTTTGAAATAATTGCTCCTACCATCAGATTTGACATAAACAATACAAAAGAGAATAAAACCCAACCTAACAAGACAATGGAAATGATATAGGACTTCCAAAACAAGGCCATTGGGAATCAACAATGGCTAAACCCTTCCTTAGATGTCACACTATGTATCACTATCCTCTGAGTTTATGACTCACTAGTCATAGGGAGTTTATCACTATGGTTATCACTATGGTTATCATTATGGTTTATCAGATCACTGGCCCTAGACTTGCAATGTTACTGAAACACCAAAGCACCACAGGCATCCAATTGCATTTCACCTTCATAGCTAACATCACAGCCTGTGTTTCTCCAGATAAGCTGGTCACTTATGGGAGGGGGCTTTGGGATGGTACTTCTTGTATATCACCCTGGAAGGGGCTATGGTATGGCTGTTCCAGTCTGGCAGGGAACCACGCATGGCACTGGTTCCAAGACTGGGTTTGTTCACTGATGTGTCTGTTTTTCTCTCTACCCCTAATCTGTGAATGGCACTGATTCATGGGGAGAGTCTAGGGTCTGGTAGGACTCAACAGTAGATCTCTTGTTCTCTGTCCAATCTGACTTACCCATGGAACATATTTTTTTTTTTACAATATTGTTCCAAAGCCAAACATAGTAGTGCATAC